TCCAAACTGGATACAGACGTCGATTTGGGACAGAACATACTGAATGCTGCTCATTGAAAACAATGTTGATCTTAGTTCTGTATCGAAAACAGAAGAGAAGGGAAATGAGAGGAAAATATATGGTTACCTCCGTTCTTTCCTTAAGTTAAGGGGTATGAAATTCACCATCCCATACACTCCCACCTAATTGACCACAATCACAGAAACACAATCATGAAATCAAATTACTTGCTCTACGATCAACATTTGCGGTTTGCAAGAATGCCATAACAATCATGAACCATACCATCTCAATCAAGGCTTTGTTCAATTTTGCAAACTGAGGACCCATCCTTTGGTTTAACTCTGCAAGCAATGTGCAAGGCTCCGGATACAAGTAGCTAAAGTCATGATAAACACAACAGTTTATTAGTCTCGCATGGGAAGAACAAAAAAACACAGGAAAGAACAGGAATCCATACTCATCAATGTTGCTTTTATCCTGCAAGAGATCCATCTTTGAAAGGATGTTGACATGTGGTAATTCAAGCTGGACCATTGCAGAGAGAGACGACATGCAACCGCTGATAAACTTTGTCACATCTGTTATGAACTGATGCAACAAAATCCATCCTTTGTCAATGCAAAATAGTTCACTATAACAAAAGTAAGTAGTGGAGGGAGCTAGAAATCTTATAAAACCTGTGAGTCAAGCAGATAGACAACACAGACTTTGAAGTTCTTTTGCTGCAAATGCTCCACAAAGTTCTTGAGTACATCGACATGTGTAAACAACTCTATCTGGCCTATAACAGAAAACAAAACAAAAAAATCATCTTCTATCCAATAAACTGTATGCCAACACCAAACTAATTACAGAGACTACGCCACATAGATCAGACATTTGCAAGAAGCAGACATAAACCCATTGATCATGTACGCACCTGGACAGTCAAAGATAAGGTAATCGTCGTCCCTGTAGTTCTCCAATTCTTCATCCAACCAATCATGTAAGCTATCCTCAAGGTATCTATGGATTAAAAGTTAAGGCTCTTCTTCCATTTCCACCCAATAGATTCTTTGTTTCTCACATATGAAAGGTAACGATTTTTTAAGACCCGATTATGCGGAGCTAGTACAATTCTCAAGTATGTTTATGTAACAGCAAAAAGGATACTCCATGCAATACATGAGGGCACCATTAGGACCAAGACCAAAGTCCTCCATTACATCTTCCAAAGAAATAAGTTCTCTGATATCTACATTCAGCAAAAAAAGTACTAGCTTTAATGAAAACTCAAAACCAAAAGGGATTTGAACAAAGAGGAAACTCACTCACCCATAGCCACAGGATAATTAAAGTTTTCAGCAGCGGGATCCAAGTTAACAACGTGCATTGTTCGACCGATAGTTTCGCAGTGTTCAAACAAAGATGAGCAATAAGTTGACTGATCGGAAAAACCGGCGAAACAAATTGTTAGTAAAATCTCAATGATTTGATAAACTCTGCTTCTACATGATAAATTGACAATAGAGAGTAATAAACCTTTCCGCTTCCTGCTGGACCAATAACGAGCTGTGCGTAACCCATTGTATGCAAAGCAAAATCTCCACAAAAAAACTCAAATTGAACAAAGAGAGTGAATGATTCTAAAAGAAGCAAAGATTGCAACGGTTATGTAAGCAATGCACCAAACACCTAAACCGAACAAGACGCTCAGAATGTCGCAGGAACCCATAAACCAGAAGCAATCAATAGACACATTTCAGCACCTGAACAAGAAAAAATATGAGAAATTGATCACAAATTCGCAAAACATACATGATTAAACTTAGGGTTTAAGACCACATAAACCCAATGGATTTGATGAACGTAACAAGGAGAGAGATAACCTAACAAAAAAAAAACGAAATTTCGAGAGAAATTGAAGAAACTAAAAGCAGCCGACATAGATTTTCATGGTGAAAACGAAACCCAGAAGAAGAGATAAGTGAATCGATGGAAGAAGATTTGACTTCACCTTTGAGATTTTCTTTTTGCTCTGATGAAAACCTAAAACCACAAAGCAAGAAACAAATCGAGAGGTTTTTGATTTGGTTCGCTTTCGTTGCGATTATTGCTTCTAAGTTCTAATTATAACAATGACTCTTTAGGGTTTCCAATGGTTTTTCTATGAATGGTTCGGTTGGGTTTTTGGTTCGATCAGAATTTAATGCGTAGCGATTACAATTTGACCACACAAAAATAGTAGATTGTTTCCACCACGTGTATCACGTAGTCTTCGCTTTTGAATTTATCATTCGTATTTTTTTTTTTAAATATTACTTAATAAGAAAAAGAAAAAAATCGAATGTCAATTTGCTCA